CCCCAAAACCCCAAAACCCCAAAACCCCGAGATGGCTTGATAAGCAATATATAGTCTAAATTTTAAATTGAAATAAATTTAAATATGAATTTTTAAACAACTACAAGACACTTGATTTAAAACTAAAAACCAGGTGGCTAGTTATCAAATACTGGTGCCTTTGGGCAGAAAAAGAAATCATCAGTAATATCTTTAAATCAATCTAAGGAAAGCAAAGCATATACAATGTTTACTCAGTATGCTTACAAACCAAAGGACAATCATAATAAATAAGATAAGTCGAATTTTCCTCATCTCTATAAGGTATTCGGACATAGAAATAATAGTAATCTACCTAGTGGGAAAAATTCTCAGCCTAAGTAAGGGTTTAATTCAGTGGCGAATACCAGTTTAGAATCTAAGCAAAAAATGTCAAAATATGACTTGAGAAATCAAAGAGCAGCATAATCTGATGCTATTTCCATTAAATCAACCATAGATAATCATTAGTTTCAATCAGTTGACAACACTCAGGAAAGAAAGCGACTAACTAGCAACCAGAATGAGATACTAGATGACTACGAAGATAAACTAAGCAGTAGTAAGCTTAGTTCTAGTCCTTCTATGAATTCAGACTATATAAATAGCAATGGAGATAATTTGCAAAAAGATTAATTTGATCTAAAGATTTATCTATAGAAGCTAGAATAGGGTCTCTATAAACGTATATATCTAGAACTAAAGCAAAGATTTGAAGCAGATATTGAGCAAAAGTTTATTGAGATGCAATAGAATTTAATAAAGAACATAAATTTAATGAGCTTCACGAATATGAATGATGAAAAGTGTCCTATGAAGAATCTCAAAAGCTCCAAGCAGTTAGGAGAAAGTGCGAGATTCCCTAAGAGAGTAAGATCTCAAGAGTACTTATCTGTATGTGATTAAAGTGATCCGCTTGACTGCTCACGAAACGAGATAGAATGCTAGGTAGCATAGATGAAGAGCTACATATCAAAAAGAAAAGACACACTGTCGCCAGTCCTAAGAAAAGATATATCTCCCTTACCAGAGGATACGCTTCCCCTTAAGCCCAATCTAATTTTAAACAACTGCAAAAGACTGGACTTTAACAGCGTTCTCAGAGATGATGAAAGGAAGATTACTTAGTCATTAGGAGATATCCCAGAGAAAAACTCAATGAGTTCTTCTAATAACTGCAGCATAATATCTTCTCAAGATAGGTCTAAAAACAACAGAAGTGGCAGGTACAATCCAATATCTATCTACCAGTTCAATCCTTAGTTCTCAGGAGATAATACCAAGAAGAATAGTCCTAATTTCTTAATTGAAAAGGACAAGCAGATTAGGTCAGCCAGATACATCAAATTTCAGCCAAGTGTTAAAGAAAATAAGCATTTGGTCAAGTTAAGTGAAGATGTGTCTACAGAGGAAAGAAATCCAATGAGGTATAGCAATTACTTCCTGAAATAGAAATTATCAATAATGAATCATGACAACAAAGAGAACATTGAAATTCAGACAGATAGAATGCCTAGAAATTAAAAAGTAGACCACAACTAAAGCTAAGGCTACCATGAGTATCATGAAATTTCTGACATTTAATTAGAAAGCAGATCATGTAAACTATCGAAGTCTGTCTGTGGCAATCATTTTATGCTTCAGGCTGTGGGATCAAGCAAGAATAGCTAGAGAAAATAGTGGGCTAGAAACGTAGTTAAAAAATGAAGTTAATTTTAAAAATGAATATTAATGCAGCAAACACTCAATTGTAATTATTATAAATTTTAGCATTAAGTCATTTTATTTTATAACTAACTATATTTGATGTCATAACTTTGTACTGAGGTCATTAACTTTAAAGCCAACGTCATCTCCAAATTTGTTTATGTACTGCTTTCTTATAAACTCATTTATCATTTATTAGTGTTCTTCTGAAAAGTCCTTAGGTATTTTGTGGCCTTCCTCATGATCAACTATTACAGGCTTCAAGTAGAATTATCTATGAAGGAAATATAAAAAAATGAAATTAAGGTTACGATTCAATCATGGATTCACGAAATATGTCCTTTTTACCATAGATATGAATCGATTCCAAAGGAAAGGAAAAGCCCTCTTGTGAGTACATTTTATCCTTATAGCCGATTTGCATATGCCTAAAAACTGGACCAGCAAATGAGATTATAAACTTTGGCATCTCACAGGGAGGCTTTAAGTTTTCTGGATCTATGGCCATAGTTAATCTGTAAAAATGTCTGAAAAATATGTTTCCTTAGCTGAATCCGATTACTCCGTCAAAAGGTCCATTGGCTTCCATCTCTTTAAAGACTACTTAGGCAGACACATCAATTCCAGTTACTACATTAGGTGCTTTCTACTCTTCTGGGTCATCAGAACTATTTGATCTCCAAGAACCAAAGGTCAGCCATGATTTATAAGGAGGCTAAAATCCCTTGCTTACATAATACTTATCTGGTTCCTCTGGACAATCATGTGGGGAATCAATGTAGTAAAACTCCATAATATCTTTATATCTTTGCTCAAACTCTTTTAAGCTTAGGCCCATAATCAGCTTATTCTGATTATATCCATGAAGACATAGCACTTTTAACTTGCGATCTACGTTAAATAATTCCATTATATAAATTATTGTACCACATTAAACATTTTATGTTAAGTTTTTGCTACTGTAAAATAATCAATCAATAAATAGAGAATAATAGTATAAAAAAATCATTCTTTCACAACAAAGTCTAATGAGTCATAATCTATATTGAAATTATTGAGGGATTAAAATTTTCTTTCATATTGCTTCTTCATAAATTATAGCATTTGCTAAAAATCTTTATCTACCATCTTCTTAGGGAAGCTATGACCTCCTTAATGATTGATAACAATTGGATTTTAAAACTATCCACTTTCATTTAAAATGTCCATGAATTCATCCTTAATCCCATTAATATGTATTGAATCGATTGGGAAAATATAATCGTCCTGCTTAAATTTCTAATCCTTGTAATTTACTTTCTTGTCCGAAAAAAATACACCTCCTATTGAGATTAGAAACTTGGGCATCTCTTCTATCTTTACTAATTATTCATGTATTGCAATGTCCATCGCTACACGATAAAAATACCTGAACATCAGTGAACCCTGACTAAACGTCATAAATCCATCAAACGGACCTTTTTAATTAATTTCTTCAACAATCAAATTTATACTCTTTTCAACCCCAAAGACTTCATTGTATTTATTATTAATCATATTTTGTTAAAGCTCGGCTTCTACTTTACGTAATTGAAACCAGGACCTAAATGGTGGTTAGAACCCTAAGGAAAGCAAGGCTTTATGAGGAGAGTCGTTTGTAATAAAGTAGGGAGCATCAATAAATGAGAAATCTGCTACATTTTCAAAAACTTTCCTGAATTATTTACTCTGATACTCTGCGATTTCTTTAGTATTGTTATAGCCATGCAATGATAGAATTCTAAGTTTTTTAGGTTACTTTTACTATAGAGTGCTAAAGTGTTTGAATTAAGTTTTTACAATGCTTTTTATCATTTCTGTAAATATATAATAATTTTTATACCCTCTATACGACATCAATTATTAATTATGGGGTTTTGGGGTTTTGGGGTTTTGGGGTTTTGGGG